CCCCCCCCCCCCCCCCCACGAAAACCTTCTCATCAAAGAACATACGGGATTCACTCGGACCCTAATGGCTCTGTGTGCACGTCCACAAATGCCTGATCTGAGCGTCCTAGTTCCAGAAACAGTCTGATAAGCCACAGTTTTCCTGCCGTCAAAAGTCATCAGGTGTGGCAAAACCCAGGCTACAGTGATATGGACTGCGTTACAGTCGCTTAGTGTGAATTCTCACGAATTCTCACCTAACGTACTGCAGAAATATTAGCGTGTGTGATTGAGGAGCGCTGTCCAGAGCTCGCCGAGGGTGCCACGTAGTATATGGTCTTTCTGCAATCAGAAACATTCTGGACTCTGAACGCTTCTGGCCCCACGGGATTCAGATAAGGGATCACAGATCAGGACCCGGCTAAGTTGGGGTTCGGAAGAAGGCATCCCGGGGCTCGCGTCGAGACAGCACTGCACCAAGGCCGGGCAAGTGGTAGCGCTCCCAGCATGGCCCCTTGGCCGCGCTCACCCATGACCCTCACCACATCCCCAGGAGGCGATCAGGGTGACTAGTAATAGCTGCGCTTTGCCACCAAGGACACTTGGGGGCCAGAGAGTGAAGCGACTTCCCCACGGTCACTTGGCTTGCAAGCAGTAGAGCTCAGGCCCGAACCTAGTCTCCCAAACAAAATATTGACGTGTGGCTAAGGACTGGTCCTGAGGCCCGAGACGCAGAAAGTGATGCTTCGCATCCTAGAATCCTGAGAGATGCCTAACCCGGCTTTCCCCCTACCCATCCAATGTGACCCAGACGTTTAGGGCCACCAGCAGGCGATTATATTAAGGACTGGAAATGACACAACCAGCCAGCCATACTTTGCTCATGCTCCTCTCTACTGTCCCTGGAAAATGATGATTGGACACATAATGCTATGGGCCAGGCATCGTTCTAAGCACCCTACATGTATAAGCTCGTGTAATCCTCGCGATTAACCCTTTGAAGTGGGTGCTTTGAGTATCCCCCTATTGCACAGACAGGAGAGAAGGCCCAGAGAGGTTAAGTAGCTTGCCCAGGCCGCACGGCTGGTAAAAGTAGCAGAACTGGGACATAACAGAAACTCAGGTGGTCTGACCGCTAAGTCCATGCTCTGAAGAGTTCTGGACAAGTTCTGAACAAAGCCCAGGCTGCTTGGCAGGCCATCAGGTGAGTAAGTAAGCTGGGGAAGAATCCGGTTCCCTTGCAGACTCTTGAGTCACCCTTTGCCAAGGGACCCCCAGCTCCTTTGCAAAGCCTCTTCCCTGCTCTGCTTGAGCTCTAGTCACCCAAACTCCCAGGGAGGCAGCTCTTCCTGCCATTTCCTGTCGATAGTACAACCCATTCCCAGCCCTCCCATCCCACTCACCTTAAAACCCATTGGGCGGAGCTTACATGCTATTTCTGCATCATGCAGTGCGTCCTCGTGAGACTCCAAGGTGAAATAAATTTGAGACCGGTTGCTATAAAGCAAGTGGTCGTTTGGAGCTGCCAAAATGAGGGGAGGGGGGGAAAAAAGCTCTCATTAATGGTCCCAGCACAAACACATAATAAGTCCTGTATGAGGATGGATCTTAGCAAACGGCAAGTTATTTGGGAAGTTTGTTAAAAGTTAATGTATTTATTCTGAGAGAGTGTGAGTGGGGGAAGGGCAGAGAGGCGGGGGGGGGGGGGGGGGGGGGGGGGGGGGGGGGGGGAGAGAATCCCAAGAGACGCAGGGCTCGATCCCATGAACCGTGAGATCATGACTTGAGTCGAAATCAAGACACTCGACTGACCGAGCCACCCAGGCGCCCCTAGGATTTTTCTACTGGGGATCCTGATGTCCAGCCCGAATGTTGCCCTGCCTGCCACACCCCCCCAGCTGCTCCGGGTCTGAGCTTCCCCAACTAGGAGGAAGTCACGTTTGCTCCTCTCTCAGGTGGTTCCTTAGAGGGCCTGTGGGTGCATTAGTGGCTCTGACATAGAGGAAACCTTAGCCGCCCTCCTTCGTGGCTATGTACGGCTAACTGGAAGCCTGGCTTCGGAGTGAGGATCCCCACGAAGAAACAGGCCAGGGCAGGGAGAAGGGGAGGTGGCCAGATGTGACTCCCATCCTACCCACCAGAAAGGCAAGTCCAGGTTAGTCTTCTAGTGACATTAGCAACATCTCTGTCTACAAAGTCCCACACATACGAAGTTTCTCTGAATGCACTTGCAAGGTTCCATCCTTTCTTTACAGATGGCCACATGTGCGTGAACGTAAACAAGGCTGCTGGGAATAAAGCAAGCTTGGTCCTCACTCACACTTTGAACTTTTTTTTTTTTAACGTTTATTTATTTATTTTGAGAGAGAACACTAGCGGGGAAGGAGCAGAGACAGAGAGAGAGGGAGAGAGAGAATCCCAAGCAGGCTCTGTGCTGTCAGTGCAGAGCCCAACATGGGGCTCGATCTCAGGACCCATGAGATCATGCTTAACCGACTGAGACACAGCCCCCGCGGGGGTGGTGGTGGACCCCCCGGGGGGGGG